AATTCTCTTACTATAAGCACTGTGAGATTTAAAGAGTAAACAACCCAATGTTTCCCTTACAGAATGTAGTATTGGGGATCTTATGATTTCCTTAAAATATAATCTGCTTAGTGTATGCATTGGAATTAATGTATATTCTCTGTGATTTTGGAATTTCAGTTTTTATGTTATTGTAGCATGTAGACCCGTTACTAAGTAATGATTATAAAGAACGCCAGTTGCTATGCACCTGCCGGGGTATAAACAAATATATAAAAGCTGTTGCTTAGTAACAGTTTCAAAAATACATCAGGTGCTCATGGAAAAGATTGAACTACAACAATGAGGAGCGGTGTTTCCCGTGCGGTCCGTTACGAGATGTTATGACCAGGATAGTTGAAATGAGTTGGTGCAATTCAGTAAGTCAGTGAAGAAAACACTAGGAAGTTGGAATGAGCTGACCGCCAGCCTGGGAGTTAGTCAGTTGAAGAAATTAGTCAATTGTGGCGTACCGGCCAGCCGGTAAAGACTAATCACAGAATATTATTGGGATCTGTTACCACTAAACGACTGGTGAAAACAAACTAAAAATTTAGTGCATTTGAGTTCAGTTGAGTGAAGTGAAATAATTGGTTGGTGATTTAGAGAAAGCCTGAAATTCGGGACTTTTGAGCCGTTGCTGCTAAAAACTTGTAGCTGAGGCATTAGGATATTTCGAGAATGAGGACGGGGAACGTTCTTCGTGCACAGCCGTTACCAGGCTATGACTGGAGAAGACACAGAAGACTGACGAAACTTAGAGTGTACTCTAGTGAACTGTAGAATGTGTGAATTAATGATAACGCAATATTTACTTGTAAATATGATCTGTAAGTGATTAATAAGCCCAGTTTCAATCCCAATCCCGTCTATAGTCAATCATACATATGACATTATTTTAATGAACATCGGGCCAGAAAGGCTCAATTCATCATTTTGTATCATCCTAAAACTCGAAAATATACGAGTATTATCCGTGCAGTTAAGATAATATCGCTAATGAAACTAAGAACCTGACATGAAGTATATTCAACATCACAACATAAAGGTTTTTCTATTAACTGAAAGTGTATATAATATAATTGAACACGTTTAGATTTGTCTTAACGAATTTGCGTATGCGTATTATTAAGTTACTTAATATTTTCATGTCAGCTGCTGCTTTCCTTTAGTGTTAGAAAATACGGAGAGAGTTGACAGTCATTAGAGACAGGAAACTTGAGCAAACATCCGAAGTGCTTCGTTATCCGCATTAAACCTAATAAACAGGGGAAGGATGATGATGGCTCGTTATGAAAAACGTAAGGAAGTTTCTGTCAACGGCTGAGCTGGGGTATCACGTGGAGAAAATGTCGCTTCGGAAAAAAGATGGCTAACATTAATTCTATGTTGCCTCAGGTACTTATGTAAGCCTACTGGTGAGATTTCGACTCATCTGTAATAATCGTAAGTTAATTACCCTGAAAAATTTTCTATCAGCTGTCAAGTTAATATGAAAGACGAATAGATCTGTAGAATATTACTGATGTCGTCGTTTGATTTGCCTAGGATCATCTGGTGTTTCAAAACGCAAAACTTCAAATACAAATTGTCATGAGCGTGGAAGTTAGTCTCTTACGTATAAAGGAAGTGCAGTCTCGTAAACTGCGAGAATCAGAGATCAGGGTGCTGAGGAGAATGTTTGGATCGAAGAGCAGTAACAAGAGAGGGGGGGGGTGGAGGAATTTGCATAATGAGAAGCTTAATAATTTGTACTCTTGGCCAAATATAGTTAGAATGATTAAGTCAAGGACTATGATGTGGGCAGGGTGTGTAGCACGCATAAAGAAAAGTAGAATGCCTTGGCCAGAAGGACAGAGAAAATGATTTAGGTGGGAGAGTTATATCAAAATAGATCTCAGAGAAATAAGAAGGGCAGGTAAAGGACTAGATTCATCTGGCCCAGATTACGAACCGGTGGCTGGTTCTTTATGACACGGTGATGAAACTTTGTGTTCTATAAACTATTTGGAAGTTCTTGAGTAGCTAAGTGACTGATGGCTTTTCCACAAGGACTCAGGACCCTGGAGTTAATAAGAAGTTATAGCCTATGTACTGTGCGGATAGATCACAGACTTACCATGCCGTCGCCAATGTTGTTCACGACGCATGGGATGAGGGCTTTGCTACCGGTCTGTGCGGTTATGGTGCTCGAGTTTTCTGTCGCGAAATGAACTGGTTGAGGCGCGAAAGTGGCCATCAGATCGTTCCACTCTCCCAGAGACTCGGTTCCGACCACTGCGGAGGCGACGGCGACTGGGGCGGCTACAGGGGCGGCGGCGGGGTGCGACCGCGGTCGCCGTTCCGGGCCCTCGCTACCGCTACTGCTGTTGCTGCTACTGCTCGTGTCTGCAACACAGGTACACAAAGTGAGCCAATCAGAACAGCTCGGTAGATAAGGGAATACCCATTTATCTATGCTTATAATAATATGAAGTGTTTGATTGATTATATATGCGTTTTAAGGAATATGGGCCATTAGTGGGAATTAAGAACAGACTCGGAAAATGGAAGCAAAAGCGGAAGTGTAAGGTACGAATTCTTCAACCAGTACTGTAGTCTCGAACTTTCGGAAAGAAAGTTACATGGCGCGCATATACATTGAAATCCTGATTTCAGAGTGTTCCTCAAAGTATATAATGCACAACATCTGATCAGTGGAAAGATTATTACTGGAACCCTAAGTAGAAGCGAGAATTATCGAAAGTTCCTCTTTGAATTCTCAGTGGACATTTCCCAAGTTTAAATCTAACAGAGAAAATATAATTCGTTCAAACGCTGGGGCTCCATTAGTGGCTTGAGTTATAAAAGAAACCAAATGCTAACTCTAAAAACAGGGCCTTCATTGAGAAGCTAATATTTACAAAATTAGTCAAGAATTTCTATCCTTTTACAGAATCCGAAGGTTCATTTGTGTATTCACAAATTCCTGTTACAAACCTCTGTTCTAAGTCAGTCAGATTTAGTCAATAGTCGTTTAGTCAAATATTATTCCTTCAACATCAATTTCAATATTATATTCCCATCTACCCCTACGTCCTCCACATTAAACTTTCCATTCAGCTTTTCCGGCTGAAGCTTTGTAAGTACCTTTCCGACGGATGCTACTCGCCCTCCAATATCATCCTCTTCTATTTGAATAATATGTTAGGCTTTGATGCCCATACCCTAGAGAGTATAAGACGAGAAATAACTTTATTATGTAATTTTCGTCAGCTTCTAATTTTTCCTTCCTTAGGCCTACAGTCAAATGTTACCCTCCGTACACTGCTGTCAGTAGCCCTTTATCTAGGTAGATCTGGGATTTCAGAGCCAAGAAATGAAGAATATTGTCTCCTGTGTTATGATACTAAACACTTTTTTAGGAAGTTGCCCACTATTATGAGGAAACTGCTACATTTTCTCGACGGTAGATGTTAGGAAGATAGAGGCAGTAGGTTCCACCGAAATATTGGTGAAATCCAAAAATGTAAAGTAAAGTTATCCCTGTAACAGGCCTTGAAGGCCCATGGGGTTGTGAGACTTCAAGGCTCCCATATTTTCTCTAGAAAAACGGCTCACAGATGGCAGTAAATTTGTCAGGCTTACGCGCCAGCCTCCCTGTATCCCCGCAGGAAGATTCCGGGCAATCATTTCTCTTAGAGGCTGAGGCAACTTCAGGGCCATAGAGCGGCTGGTAAGATTAGGTAAATTGAAAAATAATCCACCTCATCGGGACTCGAACCCGCGACCTTCAGACTTGTAGCATAGTATATCAACTAACTACTCTACAGCTGGGTGTACTCGGAAACCGAAAGACCACAAATGAATGTGGTTGTATCCCTTTATGTGCTTCCACATTTTTCGCTTTCACTTTCAGACAGATACTTGAAATACTGGCTATTTCAGAATGCCAGATAATATTCAGTCTTAAATGTGTTGGAATCTGCGTTGAAATTTGAGATGCTTCACGTATTCTAACAGGTGCAATCGCCAGCATTTATATTACTGGATTCTAATAGTGTGGATATCAAGAAGTGTTTCGAACTGCAGTTTGCTAAGGGGATTACGGAAATTCAAGTAAAGCCCAAGCAGGTCGACGAAATCAAACTTATTTAGTAGGATTAACTTTTTTCCCAGTGAATGCATCCTGTTGTGTATCATATTATTTCTTACTGAAAACCGTCACAACACAACAATCAATAATACGTGTAACTAGGTAGTTCTAGGAGATAATTTTGCTACATGTTTCGGCCTTCAAGAGGCCATCATCAGGCAAATACATTAAAATTTTTGTTATTGAATTGCATGTCAAATATAGGATACAGTAAATGATATAATGATACAAGTCCGTCCCAAGCGCAAACAATATATTATGTGTCCTTGATCTTGCTCCTCTACACTACATGTTTCGGCCTCAGACGGCCATCATCAGGTGTATAGCACTCACGTTGCTGTCACACTGCACCCAGCCCAAAATTTAACATTTAAAACACTTTCCTTGTTATTATCAACATCTACTTCGTTGATATCTGTCTGGTTTGTAGATTATTTTACACACGTTAATTTTGACGTTCCTGTAGTAGCACTATAAAATCTTTAGTTCTAATTTTAAAATCCTTTAAATTTTTTTTCTAAATTTTAAATTTAAAATTGTTAGGGTTACTAGCCCTATGTCTAAAGGGCTGCAGCGGCTAGTTCTTGTTTCCACACTGTACAGGTGTTATCCTGTGTAGTCTTCCTGTGTGCGTGCCGCTGTTATTCTTTACTACGTATAGCAGTACACGTAGTAAAGAATAACATTCTATAAATCTTAGGGTTTATCACGAGCGGATTCACTTCACAGTTTCTCAACATGTTTCATTGATTTCGATCAAGAATATAATTTTGCTTATGGAGCAAACCAATTAGGAAAGTAACCGCATTTCTTATTAGAGGAATATAATCACATTAATATTTTGACATAACCCCCAAAAGTCGGAATCGTTTAACTATACACCCTTTGATCAGCCAACAGCAAATTACTGCTCTACTCACTGCTCGGGACCTCTGTTAGTAGTCAGGGTTCAGTCGTCAGCCGGAAAGGGCAGAAACCGTTTACACGGAAGCAATGTAGGGAACCATTATCAGAGCCGCTACCAAACAACGATTAGATGAAGATATCACAGACTGGTTATGTTCTGGATGTGCTGTAGCTCTCAGTCAGAGACAGAGTCAGAGTTACTTTACAACTATCAGTTTACAGCCAATCAGTTCGTCTTGGCGCAAAGCCCCTTGAGGTACACGACCAAAGATTTCTTTTCGACTAACCTTTTAGGTTATAGTCCTTACGTAACACCTTCTCTGATGAGAGGATGGGATTTTTCTCTTGTGAATAGGCTTCACCTTTGTCAAATGTACGTTCTGCACATATAGCAAAGGTCTACATGGTCATGAAGAATGCCTTTTCTTCCCGGAAAGCGGTCAGCCTGATAAAAGATATAATTTGAAATAAATAACCTCTAATGATGTACGAGATGTGTCTCTGAGAGCAGAGTCACGTCCGTATGTAAGTCTTGCAGCTCTTTTCTGAGCTCATAGCGCCATCTCCAAGTGCCATTTGCATTAAATGTTATGTCTTTGCGCGGCCTAGAAATTATAGCAACAATTTTATTCCATTAAGTTAAATACCGTTTTTGTAATGAACACTAACTTTTCTTTTTCTTGCACAGGTTAAATGAGCTATTTTATGATCTGTTGCACCACGGTGGCCACTTTTAAGACGTAATTGTTAGTCGAACTGGGAACCTGTACTGACGGACCTGTGATCTGGATTTATGCTGTGACAGATCCTGCTACACGGGGGTCTACATACACAAAACGATAGAGAACACTACAGCAGAGGCAGAGTGAAGAACCTACAGTAAAAGAGGCAAAAGTGATAACTACAACAACACACAATCTGGAGCTACAAAACAACACACAAGCACCCATGCCGCTGAGCAAATACATCCAAACAAGGGGACGTCAAACTATGTCGTTTGGGTGAAAGACGGCCCCCAAAAAATAATTGAAATTTTAAATTGATTTTAATTAAAGTCCATTTATTTTAAATAAAGAAAATTCTAATTCATATGTGATATGAGAAGTTGGACATACCGTACAGTGCAAAAGAATTAGCGAATCAGAGACACCTGAGGATGTCCTTGTGCGGCCGAAACATTTCGTGAGATGGAAATGAGACGACAATAAGCTGCAGTGTAGACGGAAATATATTGTATGAAATAAATGTTATTTTAATGCAACAGGATGTTTAGATAAAATATTATTCCGTGCCCCTCTCAGTAGTTCTGAGAGATGACAAGAAGTTAACACTGCTGATGGAGGCAGCTTGACAGCTGCAGATGTTGGGACTAGTTTAGTCGAATCCTTGGCTGTCTGTGAGGTATTGTTCGAGATATGCTACTTGCGTCCCTTTACTTTCTGGAAGTCGTCCTGCCCCATTGAGTCCACTGAATTTTTTTCACTACACCACTTTGATCGGGGGGCACGCGGTGGCGTTGTTGGGTGAGGGGCTTTGTTACAAGCCGAAATGTCGCCTGTTCGATTCCTGATGAGATCATTGAAATTTTCAATTGACGTAATCCTTCCAGCCGCATTATAGCCCTAGTGTCTACTTAGCCTCTAACAGAAACGACTACCAGGAATCATCCTGGAAGTAAACGGCGGCCGGTGAGTAAGGCTGACAACCTAACCGCCATCTGTGAGTCGATTGTTTAGAAAATATGGGAGCCTCGACCTCGTAATCCTATAGGCCTCCACGGCCTTTACAGGGATAGCTTTACCTTTTCTGTCTTGCCTTTTACACTACTTTGACCTGCCTGTGCACTCACCTTCAGGACGAGCTCCATTTAATTCGGTGTCACCGTGTACGTCCCGTAAAGGGAGCTAAAAACGGCTTCGCGTATAGAGCTTTGCAAATGTTCTCTGTTCTCCTCTGCGCTATTCCCAATATATGTACACTCAGCTTTTCCCCACTTTAACCGGTATGTAACCGGCAAGATTCTCACCGTCAGGAAGTACTCTTCATACAGAAGCTGCTTCTGGGTATTTATTCATGATGGCATGACATTCAGATTTCAACGATGCTAGCTTTTGTGTCCAGTATTTTCGGAATCCCCGTGCGGGACATCGCCCATCTTGGTGAACACTGAAATTCACCGTGCTGTTCGGTTTTCTCACTAACCCTCACTAAGATCAACAGCTCAACTTTTCTTATCCTCCTCACAGTCACTATAGTACAGCCTGTCTCAGTCTGTTACAGTACTCAGTAGTCGTTCCCTAACTCCCACTTGAGCACTCCAGCTCACCTATCTGTAGAGTGTGCCCAA